CTGGTGTGAATCCTTTGTCTAAGAGAATAGGAAGATTTTTGTGTGAATAGATTTTCCAACAGTTAAATCAGTGTATGCAAATTGCTCTAGCGTGCCAGCAGCCCAGCTGTGTGGAGCAGAAAACAGGGAGTGCTCGTGGACTTTGTTTCAGCTGCAACTGATGCTCCATGCACAAAAGGGCCAAAGGTAACTTTGTGCAAGACAGTCCTTGAAGAAAGGGTTAGTCCTCAGCATGACCTACAGCAATTTAGGTAAGCTTTCCCTTACCTAATTTTAAGCAACATAAGTCACAAAAGATATTTAAGGCATGAAGCTGAGTTCACCCTGAACTCCTGCAGGCTGGAGAGCAGCACTTTAGACACAAGTGACTTTGCAGAGAAGGTGTAGGGATCCAGCCCCTGATATGTCCTGCCTCCGTGCCTCTCACATCTCCCACACCTCTGTATCTGATTCCTGCTAAATGCTTCCATTATCACCTTGCATATAAATAGAGTGGAGACCCCAGGTCAGATCAAAGATTATCCAGGGACAAGTAGAGGCAGAGGGCAAGGACATATTGATACTTCCTTGGAAACACTCTTCTACAATTTTGTCATTCAGGGTCTTCCAGAACCAAGGAAAGAAAACCAATATTTAGGTTAGAAAAGTAACTCAGTGGAATGCACTGTACTGGGAATAATAAACATACCAGGGGACTGGAAGTTAAAGAAGTTTGATTCCCTATTGTCAAAGCCATCAGCTCTGGGGCCAAATGTGTTTCTTCAAATGATCAGTTCACATAAGCTTAATTATTCATTTAAATCATATAAGACTGTTCCATATAGGAACTGTACCATTTAGATGGATCTAACCATAAATCCTCTCAGGAAAAGGAAAAGCTGTATGGCCATCAAAATTCCCAGGCTGAGGCCCCACAAGATACTACACAGGCAGATTTGTATGCAGGAGCTTGGTCAAGGCCAGTAAGTCCGACATGAAGGAAAATTTACTGAATGATTTGAGCTGTTTGATTTCTACTGATAGCTTTGAAAACTCAGAGAAATTTGGCTCAGTTGTGCTGGGAGTCATTTTACAATGACAGTAAAGTATCAGAAAGTAGAAATTTGGCTTCCTATAATTTTCTGTAGGTGTGACACTGATTTTGCAGATTCTTGTATCACCTAGGTTTTGGTGAAAACACTTTCAGCTTTTCTACTTTTACTGCCCTCCATTCAATGGGATTTTTTTTTTTTTCCTTGAGATCTGTGCAGTAATGCCCCAAATTCCTGAGCCTAGCAGAAGCTCTTTCTCCTGGAGTGATGGTGAGCCTGAGCTGCAGCAAACAGCCCATGTATTCCATCAGTTAATTTTCTGTGTCCTCTCATCATTCTCTGCTATATCAGGACTGGCCAGAAAATGCAGCACCTGAGAGACCTATGAGCAGGAGAGCTGTGGATTCAAAGAGCAAAGTACAAAGGTTTCTACAAAAAATAGGAAAGGTTTTCTGTGCCAGAGCTTGCACAGGTATCATTCCTGATGTCACATGCAGAAGAAATCTATTTGCTGTACCTCAGCCCAGTACAACAATGCTGCAGAACTGGAACCAGACCAGCTCTGTGCAAGCACAGAGAAATAGGATGTCTATTGGCAAATTTTCACTGGATGTTCAAGGTTGCCTGCAATATTTATAGTGAGTGAAACACACAATAAATATTAGAGTGGAGAAGAAGGGCTGAAGAAGCAGTGTCAGCACTCATTCCTGGGCCCCTTTGACTTGTAAACTACAGGCCCCCTTGAAAGCATCAGCATTTCTCAGCAGAGAAAAAAATATATTTCTTTAAAATAATTTCACAAGCTGCATTTAAACAAGCAGCAGACAACAACAGAGTCTGAGAAGGATTGGAAAAGCCCTCTAAGACCATTGAGCCCAACTATTCCCCCAACACTGACAGGTCCACATTAATCCATGTCCCCAAGTGCTGCATCCAATTGCTTTCATAACATTTCCAGCATGACAGAAACAAGCTCAGAACGGGTATTCATGCATCCGTTCTTGGAGCACAGACTTCAAAGTCTAAAGCAAATCTGGCAAAATGGATCTCAATATGAAGCTGCCAGAAGCAGTCAGTCTTACACGTGTCTGGCCTTTATTTGTTGCATGTGAGCTGCTTGCTAAATATCACCAGAGATAATCTGTCACAAGAAACTCCTCCAGCCTGAGCAGCGAGACTCTGAGTGCTGTAACACAAACACAAACATGCTCCTTACAGTGGCACCCTCCAATGGGAGCTCATCATTTGCTCTTAGGGCCCAATGAACCAGCTTTGAATTTATTAATTTTTTTAAAAAGAAGATAATATTAAATCCCAAAGACAAAGAAGCCAAGACCATGCTACTGAAGCTCTATTTGAGGAAAGATGAATTGGCAAGAGGACAAAATCTGGTAGGGGTCAAACTCTAATTCTGTTGTGAAAGGAGTAAGTTCACCCCTCTCTCTCCCTCTCTCTCTCCCTCTCTCTCTCTCTCTCTCTCTCTCTCTCTCTCTCTCTCTGTTGAAAGGACAATACACAAACCTTCCTACTGAGCTGCAGTTTATTTTTTAATGCAAATGAACTAGAAAAATTCATTTTTGATAGGCAAGTCTGATTGGGAATTTTTTAAGTGTCTTTCACTGAACCTGTCATTTGAATCAGTGTTTGACCGATCATGCATTCTAATTTCAGCTGAAAGCAAGGGTATTTGGTGTCTGGGACAGCAGGTCTGTCTCTTGGTTTTTTAAATCACAGAACACATAACTGAACATGTTAAACTCACAGAATCATACACGTTCAGGGTAAAACAAGACATGCTTCACATTCCCCTTCAGGATTTTTTCTCTTCCTGCCTGCTCAGCCACTCTCATCTTCATGGCTGTTATCCAGACCAAAGAAATTCACAGCCAGCATTGCAGACTACTATGGGCTGTAAACAGTTTGAGCAGAACACTTTTTACACCTATTTTCCCCCCCTAAATTAAAATTAAGTCATGTCTATTTACAGTTTCTACAATGCTTGTGTAAACTGCTAGAATCCTGATTTTGCAAAGAGCTGGCACATAGGTGTATGGCTGGAAGGTTCTGCTGAACATGAAACTCATAAACATATGCTTATCAATATTAATTCTTTTGCAGATATAAAACATGAATTTATTAGCATAATCGAGTGCTTAACACAATGTCTAGTTCCCCATCACTGCCACAAATCCATATGTCTTAAACTGAGAAAGTGAAGGAAGCTGAAAGGATTCAGCTAAAATGTAAACACTTATTTTCTTCTGACTTGGGTTCAGCCACGTGGAGATGGCAGTGGCTAATTTGGCACCAGTCTCCTACCTGTGAAGACAGCTGAATTAGAGGACATGTCCTGAACATAACATATGTTCTGTACCTTGGGTATACATTACATCATCTCTTTAATCATGACCAATTTTCTTCCAATTATGGGTCACATAGGGCCCCATATGGGGGAAAAAAATGACCCAGTGCATAACATACCCATTTTTTACCCTGCTGACATCATCTCTGTTGGAAAA